CTAAGAGTTACTTAGTGGGTTTCTCAATGTTTACAAAAACCAAAGAGTACATATGCAAATTGAAGATTGAAGAATACTTTTTCTCATGGGCACTTCAGTTTAACCAACGTTTTTTTTTTTGGGGATAAAATTAAGTTTAACCATAGTTTACAAATAATGGAATATAGTACCTCTAATTTTTATTTTTTTCTTATTAACAAACTAAAACGAGAGCTGTAAGATTAATAGCATTTTCTTAAATTGATGTTCGTTTATAATGCTAAATTAACAAGCATGAACATCATCACGTCCACATAGAAGCTCTCCGTTTAGTTTATCCACTGCTTGAAATGTTCCTCCTCCATTACTCCTCTATTTTCACCCAAAAAATAAAATAAAATTACTTCGATTTGTAGCAAGTAACTACTACTAATAATTAGCATTTATATAATATGAACTTACCTTGTAGAAGTTGACGGCGAGGAAATTAGCCCACCGGTTCCCCGCAGCTACGTAACATGTCTCAATCATATCGATAAGAGGTTTAGAGTTCTCCTCACAAGTCAAGATCTTAACCGGAACCGTCATGAAATGGTTTACCAAAACCAAAGCTTTGGTTTTATCGGTTAGCACTGCAGATTCTGCTCTATTGCTACATTCCCCAGGCTTCACTCCTTTGTCTCCATCTGACAATTTATACCACATTGAGATGAATCTGTTATCTCTAGACCAATTGAAAGTAAACCGGAATTTTGCTATTTTATCACACTCACATTGGTTTTCTACCACGTAATTCCACAGGTAAGCTATTCCTTCGGTTTCTTGCTTAGATTTAGCTGAAGTGAATACGACTAACCGATGTTTACTGGCGACCATATCTTTAACCAACGGCCAATCTTGGCCACCATTAGGCATGTTTTGAACCGGAAACCAGAATTTCTTTAAACCGGAATCGGTAAAAACTTTGGTTAACGCGTTTGGTGATTTGACGTAATCCTCCAAAAATAATGTCACGATCTCTGATGGATTCGCTGTCAAGAACGCGAATATCTCCTTGAATGTGTCTATTGCCCGACTCTACAATGTCACAGAAACAAACCAAATCATATCCGGAAATTTACATGTTGGACTATTTTATCTTCCAAAAATTGCTGAGAATAACATTAAAGCAACCATTTTTCATTTCGTTTGCGTTTACAAGTTCCAATAGCTGTTACCTAGGCTAGAACACTAATTTAAAAAAATATATATAATTCTCCCTTTTAATATTGTATTTTTACCTTTTAGTGTTCTAGGTAACATAATAATCCTAGTCGGGTTTAGTTATTTATATTCAACACAATCCTCGGTTTTCAAACTAAACACAAATATTTTCAAACATTCTATTTTGCTAAAACTTCGTTTTGGTTTTACTCGGTTTAATTTTGGTTAGTGAAAACTAGAGACGGGACTTACAAACTTGGTGAACTCAAAGCATTGTTCATCAAACGAATGGCACAACCATACGTCTCCTTCGTAATCGTACGTATCCAACATCAATGCTCGAACACCACTCTGAAAAGAAAAAGAAAAAGAAAGTAAGCATAACATTTACATTATAAAACAAAAATTAAGAAATATATATTAGTTATTTATTTACTAATGATACTACGTACATTAAGTTGTTGGGCTATATCATCTTCTTGGGTCGACACATGAAGCGGTTTGCCTTCAATGGCATATGAATTGTGAGTCGTCAAGAATGCATATTTATTAAACGGCATCGAATTGTTCTGTT